CTTGACCTGGCCAACTGTTGTGAAGGGTGTTTACTTCGATTCTTCGGTCATCCACCACAGATGTTTTCCGTGGTCTTCCGGGTCTTTTGGTGTAGCTGAGCTCACCAGTGCGTTCCTTCTTTTTGAGAATGTTCCAAACTGTTGTTTTGGCCATGCCTAATGTTTTTGCTATCTCTCTGATAGGTTTCTTTTGTTTTTTTCAGCCTAATGATGGCTTGCTTCACTGATAGTGACAGCTCTTTGGATCTCATCTTGACAGTTGACAGCAACAGATTCCAAATGCAAATAGCACACTTGAAATGAACTCTGGACCTTTATTCTGCTCAGTGTAATTGGGATAATGAGGGAATAACACACACCTGGCCATGGAACAGCTGAGAAGCCAATTGTCCCATTACTTTTGGTCCCTTAACAAGTGGGAGGCACATATGCAAACTGTTGTAATTCCTACACCGCTCACCTGATTTGGATGTAAATACCTCAAATAAAAGCTGACAGTCTGCAGTTAAAGCGCATCTTGTTGTTTCATTTGATATCTATTGTGGTGGTGTATAGAGCCAAAAATGTTAGCATTGTGTTGATGTCCCAATATTTATGGACCTGACTGTATGTGTCCTTTAGAGGTGTGATCCAGGTCACTGTAATGTACACATGACTGCATGGCCAGCAATGCAGACAAAATACCCCAGAAGTATCTCAGTCAACTCAGTTCATTTGAATAGGTAAAAAAAAAATGTTTCAATGACTGAGTTGGCGAGTGTGTGCATTCTAATCAATGATAATGCTTTACACTGTCAATTTAAATCGAAACAATCATTAGGAATTAAACTCACTATAGCATCATACTCCTTTTGCTAATTTAGTGTAAAGCACATAAGCCTCCTGCAAAATCACAATTTTTGTAAACCAGTGCATGTGCATGGGTGCGTGTGTGGTTGTGTGTGTGTGTGTGTGTGTGTGTGGGTGGGGGTGGGGGGGGGGGGGTTAACTTAAAGATGCAATATGTAAGAATGAAGCAAGAATGACATCTTGTAATCAAATTTGGTTACTGCAGCTCATTTTTATAAACAGTAAGTCACTTTTTCAAACATGTTCAGTGAGTTTTGTGGCTGTTGCCAGTTACAGTTCAGCACCAGAAGATCCTAGGTGTCAAGCGAAGACGAGTCATACACAGTAAGTTGATAGGTAGGTAAGTGCATTGTGATATCTGGTGTTAGCACTCTTGTGTGTTGGTCAGTAGGAAGCACTTACTACACTGTGCAGTAGCGTGAGCTTGGCGTAGACTCCACAACCTCCCGGGCTCACAGATTGTAAACATTAACTACTTCACTCTTTGTTTTTGTTTTCTTTAGAAAGGAGAGAAACTAACAATCCCCCAGCCAGGCTGAAAGTGTATTCTGGATCAATATAACCTTCCTTATAACATGATTGAGACATAAGACTCTTTTGTGACTATTTCACTGTACAATTCTTACATATTGTACTATTAAGCCAAATAAAACTTACAGTAATAAAATGCAACAAAGTGCTTAAAGTAAAAATATTTTTCTTACATTATATATATATATATATATATATATATATATATATATATATATATATATATATATATATATATATATATATATATATATGAATGAAATATAATATTCATCTTATTTCTATAATTGTTGAAGTCTTTGAACAAACAAACAAAACTCCTTGAACAAACTACGTTTTGAAAAATAAATCTATGGTCCAATCACCTTTCTTCAGGCTCTAGGAGTTAACTGAAAATGGTGCAACACTGGACATAATGGATCGCCCTACAACCATAGAAACCTAACATCACCTTATGTTTCTGCCATAATTTTTAATGTAACACACTTACAAAACCATATGACAATTCAATATTCTAGCTTGTGTTATTTTTATGGAGAAAAATTGATGTATTCTTCACTTCAAAATCACAGCAACTCAGTGTCACCACCAACTAGGGGTAGACCAATATGTCGGGCCGATATTTACCATTTTACAACATCGGCATCGGCCGACAGTTGTCCTTAGTAAAGCCGATTTAAAGTCAGGCACATCCTCGGGCAGCCCAGTGGTATTGCAGGATTTAATTTCAAAGTAATTTTATGTTTGCTAATAACATCTGCATGATAAAAACTCTAAATTAACTTTATTTAGGTGTCTGTCTCAACACTGAGCAGTGCACAAAGTCAAGATTTAACAGTTAAATTCAAAGTTCAAAAACTGATTCGGTTTCAGAAATTTTGTGCATCAAATGATGTTATTAGTGACATTTTAGCATGAAAATAGGGTGGAAAATTTCAAGATATCAACCATAAAAATTGGCAATACATTTTGTCCATCTGCTGACCATGTCGGCATCAGTATCGACGATAGAAAAACTAATATCGGTCGACCTCTACCGCGAACAGGTCAAAGTTCCCACCAAACCGAACCTTACCTCTCAAATGGCTCAACGCACACCCGCGTGGGGGAACAAACTGACAGATAGCTCTGCCAGCCAACAGAGGACACAGACAACTAGTCCATCACGTTATTCTAGCTAGCCCAGATCTGGCTTTGCTTCTAGTTCAGCTGCTCCAAGCTGATAACGTGTGATTTGTGCACATAGAGGGGTATACCATTTGGGATGACGGGAGCGATTTTGGGATGACGGAAGCGATTGGAGGGCGACCCGCAACCATGGACGGCACCGTCCATGTGGATACCTCACAGACTGGGACGTTGCTCGAGGTGAATCGCAAGCTGGACAATGTCTTAGCTGCGTTACCGGTGTTAGCGCGCAGGATTGATAACATCTCGAAAAGGGTCACCGGACGGTGTGGAGATGTTTAATCACTGAATTGGCTTCACTGGAGGACTTGAATGATCAATACAGACTTCAGGCAGAGAGGAAAAATTATCTCTGTCTGACCCAAACAAAGTTCAAAACCCCCACGCTGGAAGGAATGCAGACAAATGCTGTGAATCTCTATCCACCCACCCCCCCGCCTTCAGATTGTGGTCTCCACCGAGGTCATCAAGCTAAGGACTCACTGCTCTCTGTGCTTCCCCATGACCTCCCTCCCACCTGCGGAGCCAGCTGGTTGAGCGCCACACAGGCAGCCCCCGCTGATAAAACCAGGATCCCAGCCCCTCCCCCCTACCTACCGGGTCTCATGTTGTGAACTGTGACGTTTGTTGCTTACATGTCGGGTGTTTTTTTTGCATTGGAGCGCTACACCCTGCTGGTGTAACCCTGTTAATGCCTTTTTTCTTCCTCCCTGAACTTCCCTCATGTATTCCCTTACTCATCTACAAAGGAGCGCCGTCATGGCTGCTCCCATGGTCTGCCTGTATCTGTCTTGTCTATATGTGTGTGTGTGTAACCTTGGTCAGGTTGTACTATGGAGTCAAGTTCCTACGCTCTGAAAGGAGCGCTGGCAATAAAATTCATTCTGATTCTGATTCTGATATTCGGGGAGTGTTCAGAGGGCAGTTTGATGGGTGGATCACGATCAAATCATTAAAAATGGGATGTCCACAATGATTGGATGAGGTTTTTCCAGGATTGTATGTTTTAGAGGTGATTAATATTATTCACTTTTCTGACTGAACTTATTGGTTACTATTGGTATGTTAAGAGCATTTCAAGCAATATGGCATAAAAAGCTCCACTGAACCCTTACTGTCAGTGTAACATAATAGTTCAAGCTAATTTTCAAAATAAAATATCAAGCTGAAAAACATTGATAAAAATGTTGATATAGATTTCTTTTATTGTTTCTGTGCAGGCGGGTACCAAACAGTAGGCGTGTCAGCTTGGTCCTTGAAAGAGCCACTGTTAATTTTCACATGCTAAAGAGTTTTAACAAACTTCGCTGACAGTGATGTATTTCTCCATGGTAAATGGCCTGTATTTGATATAGCGCCTTCTAGAGTCCTGGAACCCCCCAAGGCGCTTTACAACACAATCAGTCATTCACCCATTCACACACACATTCACACACTGGTGGGGATGAGCTACAATGTAGCCACAGCTGCCCTGGGGCGCACTGACAGAGGCGAGGCTGCCGAGCACTGGCGCCACCGGTCCCTCCGACCACCACCAGCAGGCAAGGTGGGTTAAGTGTCTTGCCCAAGGACACAACGACAGCGACAGACTGAGCGGGGCTCGAACCTGCAACCTTCCGATTACGGAGCGAGCACTTAACTCCTGTGCCACCGTCGCCCCATGGTGCCTATGGCGTTAGGTACCATTCAGAAGTAAATATCACACAAGGGTCTCCTTTGGTTAGTATTATGTGTCACATTCCATTCCCCAAACGTGCTTGACCGGGCATTGTACCCACATTTTGGCAGCTGCTCCACAGCGCTGTAGCACACTTTAGAAGTCTCAAGCTTATCACTGTGTCATCAGGTGAGGCTGCAGGAGCTTCCTCCTTTTGCTGCTGCAGCAGAGCTCTGCCGTTTCACTAAGAAGCCAGGTAACTTTTTACTGTCAGCAAAGATCTACAACATGTATTGAAAATCTGGAATGTGTCATTTGTATGCAACAAGCGAGTGATTATGATTCATACTAGGAAGGCTGTCACAACATGTTTATGTTGAGAGTGTCCATCAACAGTTTAATAATTAATACTATTACAATAATGTATGAAGAGAAGCACAGCTTGATTTTGAGCAGCTGTTCTCTGGCAAATGAGGCCCAATTTTTGCACCCTGGTCCAAAGTGGTAGCTAACTCCATTGGCATAAGTAGGACATCTAGGCATTCCTTTGTGATCATTGAACTCCGTTTAGTTTTGACCTTAATTTAGAGAACGGTTAAGTGCCCCCTCAGATGAACAATTAAAGTCTCTTAATTAAAGAAAGTCAAATTGGAAGAGAAAGTCAAGAAATGAGAAGCTCAAGTGTCAATTTTCTCTGCATGAACAAAAAGTAAAAACTTCTTAGAACAATACCAAGAGTTCACCCTGAGGTGCAGTGTGTACGTGTGTGTATTACCGGTAGGCAGGTCGACATGCTGCAGTTCATTTCGCACCAGACCCATGTTGTTAGGGGAAGATGTGGCAAAGGACAGGAAACTGGTGAGACTCACCCATTCAATCCCCCTGTGGAACAGAACGCAACACAAAAGACAGGTTTCTCTGTGTTATCTAAAATATGCAGCACAGCTGTCAAATATTCTTCCAGTCCATCTTTAAAAGGCCGTAGGTTAGAGGAGACCTATGAAAAATCTCCCTCTTTCCTGGAAGATCTGCATTAACTGCATGGCTGGTCATTATGTTAATCAGTATTTGCATCTACGTGTGGCGTTTTATTAACCTCAGCCAGTTTAATGCATGACTCACTGAGATTGTTCATAAAGGAGGGATCATTACCAGCTATTTGTAGCCAAAGTGCAGACTGAAATTGAGTTAAGTGCTTCACTAAGCCCCTGGATCAGCTATGAAGGAGTTTTGAACATAGGCAACAAAGAGCTCTGGTAACCTGTTCTTGATTAAGAGCTTAGAAAACCATATCAACTGGTAAAGACGGAGCACAGTTTGACTCCTTACTTGGTATGCCAGAAAGAACTTCACACTTTCCAGATGGGAGGTGCAAAAATACCCTAAAGACTCAACAGGCACTTTAGTAGGTGAAGACAACTTGCTGAAGTTCAAATCGAGCTTCAGAATAAAGGAGAAAGGATAGTTAACGGGCTTTGAACGTGGTATGGTTGTTGATCCCACACAGGCTGGTCGGAGCATTTCAGAACCTGCTGATATACTGGTATTTTAACCCACAACCATGTCTAAGGTTTACAAAGAAGGGTCTGAACAAAGAAAACATCCAATGAGCAACAGTTGTGTGGATGAAAATATCTTGTTGAGGTCAGAAGAGAAAGGTCAGACTGGTACTAGGTGACAGGAAGACTCTCAGAACCACAGCAGCAGCAGCAGATGGACTCCAGCAGCAGAAGACTACAGCAGGTGTCACTCCTGTCAGCTAAAAATAGGAAACTTAGGCTTTCCTGGTCTGATAAGTTTGGATTTCAGCTGCTTGGGTCAGAATTTGGTGTCACCAACATGAAAGCATGGATCCATCCTGCCCTGTATCAACTTTTCATGCTGCTGCTGGTGGTGTAATGGTGGTGGTAGTGTTCTTGTCCCATTTTGGACCCTTTAGCACCACCTGAACCTGGTTTAAAGGTGTGGTTCACTTGTTTAACCGTTTTATATATATATATATATATATATATATATATATATATATATATATATATATATATATATATATATATATATATATATATATATATATATATACACACACATATATATATACACATATATACATATACACATATATACACACACACACATATATATATATATATATATATATATATATATATATATATATATATATATATATACATATATATATACACACATATACACACATATACACACATATATATACATATACACACACACATATATATATATATATATATATATATATACACATATATATACATATACATATATATATATATACATATACATATATATATATATATATATATATATATATGTATATGTATATATATACACACATATATATACATATACATATATATACATATACATATACATATATATATATATACACACACACACACATATATATATATATATATATATATATATATATATATATATATATATATATATATATATATATATACACACTTACATATATATTAAAGGTGTCCCCCAAGTGTCAATTTTGGGACCATTACTGTTTTCACTCTACGTTAATGACTAGCCCAACGTATGTCGAAATGTAGATACCATTATGTATGCCGATGATACAGTCATTTTTACACATTCCAAAAGTCTTCAAGAGGCGGCTCAACAACTTTCAACTGCTTTAAATGACCTCCAGAAATGGCTAGAGGACTTGTGTCTTTGTCTCAACATCAAGAAAACTGTGAATGTTCTTCTCCAAACCAACATCAAGACTGACACCAGCAAAGGTATTTCTGAAAGGAGAAGAAATACAAAATGATGAACAATTCTAATACCTTGGGGTATGGTTGGACTCAAAATTATGTTTTAGAAAGCATGTGCAAAATATTGTCAAAAGTGTAAATTATAATTTGCATAATTTTAAACATACAAGAGCGTCCCTGACAGATTAAGCAGCAGGCACATTTTTACATTCAATGATACTGTCTCACATTGGCTATTACATCCCCAGCTGTTCATTTACTGCCTCTTCTGTAATCAGACCTGATGAGTCCTGCTACAAAAAGGCAATGGAAATCCTGGACAAAAAGCCAATGTTGTACCATCACTGTCCGATTCTGGATAAATATTCTCTACAGTTTCCAAAATTTTAAACATTTTAAATCTGCTTGCCTGGTGTACAAAGTTATTCATGGTCTAGCCCCTCCACCACTGAATGGTTTGATTATTCAAAAACCACATAGGGACTCTTCCCGAGTAACTCGAGCTACAGTTAGAGGTGACTGTGAGCTCCCTCTTAGGCGAACGATATTTTCTCAAAATGTTCTGTCATTCCAGGGCTCGACTTTTTGGAACAGCATTCCTACTCAAGTGAGAGAAAGCACAAGTTTTGTTACTTTCAAAAGACAATTGAAACTGTGGCTACAGGAAACTCAAAGATGCAGTCATAGATGATACTTTTATTTGTTTTTACTCTTGTCTTTTTCATAAAATATGTTAAATGTTTTTTCTAAACGTATGTTGTTGTCTGTCTTATCTCTTTTAACATTAACCTGCCAGAGGACTGCAGATGGAAATTAGCCCAAGGCTACAATCTGGCGTTTTACAGTTGTATTACATAAATATGCACTGTCCTCTCTTTAAATAAAGTGTAACGTCATAACATGGACTGATTTTAAAGATCCCACAGGTCATATGTAGCCAGAGAAAATAACCCTGGCTGCTACATGTTCTGCTGTATCTTCCCTTGTCAGGAGTTTGTGAGTCTGCACAACTCAGCATTTTAATCAGAAGACTTCATCAGCCGAGTGCAGCTTCATCAGATAACAAAGATGAACAGTGGCATTCCTTTCCCCAAGGTTCATTCACAAGAGAACTGTTTTAGATAAATATTTATTCCCAGAGAAAAGAAGATTTCATAATTAAAGGAATCATTTTATAATTCAAAATAAACATTGAAGAAAGAAGATTTTGTGATTAAAAATCATTACATATTGCCATGTATAATTAAGCAATGAAATGTTCAGGAATCTGCATTCAATGATGGTTTAGTGTTTACAGGATGAGGTTATCATTACACCAGACAGAGAGTAAGGTTAAGATTAAGAGTGCATGATACATAACTAACCTTGTCCCTAGACTCAGAGACTCTGTGTCTCAGAAAGTGCATTTCTGAGATTCTTGGTAAGTTGGTAATAGATAACAGCGGGCATATAAACCAGCCGTTTTGCTTTCTCGTCAGTCGTGAGAGCAAGCTGGAGACTGGCCATCTCTTAGCAGATCTCTAGCTCAGAAAGATTTTGACATGCTGTCAAAACCTTAAAGATTTTGTACCTGCAAAGCTGAACAATAAGATAGTTTTCCTGCAGAACAAAGCTGACTCAAACTCCTTCAGAGTTGATTTTAAGACGCTTGGTTCCATTTATCTATCGTTGTGACCCGGAGGCATCTGAAGACTGATTTGGTCGCATCGAGGTTTCTCTACGAACCAGGTGCAGTGGGGTTGTCGGCTCCTGGACATCTCGGATCCAATCAGGGTCTTCAAATGGGTGAGGTCGACACAACGAGATAGCGTCTGCATGTGGTTCTGATAATAGCAACTTAATAGTTTAGATGCAAACCAAATTCTCTTATGTCCAGAACACACCTCTCTGAAGATACAGAGATTCTGATTCATCATCTCATATTCACAAAGTTTTCAGACACCCAACTTTTAGTTTCATCCACTCACTGTCACGATCTGCTCCTACCTCCCTCTGACTCCTACTCTCTCCTGCCCCTGATTAGTTTTATTGGTGTCACCTGCCCCTTGTTAACCTGCCCATGTGTTCCTGATTGTTTCCCTGTGTATTTATACCTCCCGTCTTGTATGTGTCAGTGTTGGATCATTGTTGTGTTGTGTCTTGTTGTTTCCTGCCGTATCCTGCCATTAAATCCATTTTTATGTTATCCGTGCCTTCATTCCTGCCTCCTGGTCAGCTCCACCACACATGGTCCGCCGCCTCCCACTCCACATCACGACAGAATGATCCAACCAACCTGGACCTGTGGTGAGCTCTGAAACATATTCCTGGAGGACAAATTTTTTTTGCTTTGTCACCTTTTAGCGGAAGGAGATTCCGACTCAAGGGGTTTGGTGCATCCTACCTGTTTTCGGGGTGGTCGAACCCATTGAGGGTTTTTTGACGCATCCTACCAGTTCTCGGGGTGGTCGAACCCATTCTTCTCTCCTGCTTTTTTGCCCCATCCTGTTTTTCCACGGACGCAGCATATCCTGGAGTTTTGATGGAGTTACACCCCCTACGCACGCCAACATTCTCCGGGGTGGTAGGGCCGGTCTCCCCGCTCCTCTTCTGCTTCCCTTCACCCAAGCCTCCGCCTGCGTCCCAGCGGATCGTGATGTGCACCTGCTCTGACTGCTGTCTAGTACCTGCCACTGTTCCTGGTTTCCTCGCGTCACTGCCTTCAGTTCATCAACTTCCTGGTCCACGCCTGTGGGACCTACGCCTGCAGGTTCTCCACGCTGCAGCCTCTTCAGAGTCCCATGGCTGCAGCCTCTACAGAGTCCCACAGCTGCAGCCTCTTCGGAGCCCCGCACTGCAGCCTCTTCGGAGCCCCGCGCTGCAGCCTCTTCGGAGCCCCGCGCTGCAGCCTCTTCGGAGCCCCGCGCTGCAGCCTCTTCGGAGCCCCGCGCTGCAGCCTCTTCAGAGCCCCGTGCTGCAGCCTCTTCAGAGTCTCGCGCTGCAGCCTCTTCAGAGTCTCGCGCCTGCTGCTGCAGAGTTCCAGTATCTTTGTTCCCGAGTTTTAGGGTCTTCGTTCCCGTGTTCCAGTGTCTTCGTTCTTGAGTTCCAGTTCCCAAGTTCCAGTTCCCGAGT